CTCACCTTGGCGGCGGGGCTGGAGGGCGCCGCGGGGCGGCGAGTACAGGGAGAGGTGGAGGCCGGGAGAAAGGGAAGGGGCCGGGGCGACGGATGGGGAAGGGCTGGGTGGGGGCGAAGGGGGCCCGGTGAGCAGCAGGGCTGGGGTTTGGGTTGGAGCAGGGGGGCTGCAGGACCAGGGTAGGGGGAGGATTTGGGGCAGGGGCAGGTTGGGTGCAGGTGGGTGTGCGGGTACCCCCTCCCGCCAGCTGGGTGGGCGCTGGGGACAGGATACCGCACGTCTTCCTCCCCAAATCCCCCTTTCCATCCTCCGGGGCTGCACCCGGCCACACCAGGACTATTTTCCAGCCTTCTTTTATTGACACTGCTTCCCACTGGCGCAGCCTGGAGCCGGAGCGGAGCCGGCAGCCCGCGAGCAATGCAAGAGGAGGCAGCAGGAGGCAGGACATCACTTTTATTAACCAGAAGAAACCATGAGAAATCACATCATCCAGCAAAGTTTTACACAGGGTACGTTTTTGTCCGTCTCCGGCTTTGGGAGCTCCTCGCGGGCAAGCCCGGCCTCAGAGAGCCTCCGATGGCAGCTCGTCCTGGCCACATCCCGGCTCTTGCCATGGGCAGCTGCGTCCAGGAAAGAGGAGAACCAGGGGTGCCACCTCCTGGCACCCGCCACCTGCCCCAGTTTCCCCTCCTGGGGACAGTGATGCCACCCAAGTGCAGCAGAGCCATGCGGGTAACGGCCGCTCGCTCCCATAAAGTGCTCTGGGAGTGATCCCATCCATAAATACTATAGCATAGAAACACTTGATTTATAAAAAAAAAAAAAAAAAAAAAAAAAAAAAAAAAACACTTTTTATAAAATTATAAAAGCATTTATTCTTTTTAAATATTTCCCTGCAAAACAGTGGGGGGAGAGGGGACACTGGGCTGATGGCCACACACAGATCTGGCACAGGGCTTGGAAACCCCTGGATTGCCCAGGGCTAATTGATATTATTAATGATTCCTCTGCACCTGGTGCCAGAAATGCACGGGATTTATGTGCCTGGGGCTGCCCCTTCCCAGGGCTTCTGCATTACTTGGATTTCTTTCTCCCTGGCTTCCCAAAATAACACGTTTGCTCTAAAAATAAACAGGGTGGCACCACCAAGGGGTATCCCAGCCACCGCAGGGCTTCCCGCTGAGGTGATGCCACCTCGAGGTGATCCCCCTGCAGGGCATTCCACCAAGGTGATGCTGCCACAGGGTGTCCCACCAAGGCAATGTCACCACAGCGCATCTTACCAAGGTGCCACCACTGCAGAACATCCCATCCAGGCAACGCTCACACACATCGGGGCCAGGCACCCCAGAGGGGCCCCACTCTGCCCCTCTGTCCTGTGCAATGTCCCGGTGCGTTGCCCACGGTCCCCAAGGCCACCTGCAGCCCTGCAGGACGCGCTCACTCAGCCCGGGGCTGGGGTCTCCTTGCAGGTGGCAGCGCAGGGGAACCTGGGGCTGCCCATGGGGTCTCAGCACCACGGAGGAGCCAGCCCAGGGAGGTGGCACTGCTGCCAGGGACCCACTTTGGGAGACGCTCCGGGGACCCTGCGCACTGCTGGGGGGGGCCAAGAGTCCCCTCGCCGGGAAGGGTGAAGCCAAACGCTTGGAGTGGGGGCTGCTCCCTGCAGCAGAGGGTCCCGGCACCCATGGGTGCTACAGCCCTCAAGGCTGGGCAAGAGGAAGCCCCAGTGAGGGGCAGGGCAGGTGTGTGGGACGGCAGGGGGGACAGGAGCTCTTTTGACACTTTTTTTTCTTGTTTTATTATTATTATTATTATTAATTAATATTATTCTTATTCTTATCCTTTAAGGGCTTGGCTTCTTGCTGGGTAGAGAAGTGTCTTTCCGTTCCAGCCGTGTGTAAGGCTCAAAAGCGGAGCTGCCCAGTCCGTAGGCGCTCGGCAGCTCGTGCAGGGCGCCCAGCAGCGGCCCCCCGAAGCAGAGCGGCCCAGCGGGCAGCCGCGGCGAGGAGGAGGGTGC